GGCCACGTCGTCATACCACATCATAGTTAAAACCAAAATTATACCATGTACTACATTCAAGTCAGGCCACGTCGTCATATTACATCATAGTTAAAAACAGAACTATATTATACCACGTCTACATTCAAGTCAGGCCACGTTGTCATATTACATCATAGTTACAAACCAGAACTATACTGAAACATGTACTACATTCACGTCATATCACGTCGTCATATTACATCATAGTTACAAACCAGAACTATATTATACCATGTACTACATTCAAGTCAGGCCACGTCGTCATATTACATCATAGTTACAAACGGAACTATATTATACCACGTACTACATTCAAATCAGGCCACGTCGTCATATTACATCATAGTTACAAACAGAACTATATTATACCACGTACTACATTCAAATCAGGCCACGTCGTCACATTACATCATAGTTACAACCCAGATCTAGATCATACCATGTACTACATTCAAGTCAGGCCACGTCCTCAAAATACATCATAGTTACAAACCAGAACTATATTATACCATGTACTACATTAAAGTCAGGCCACGTCCTCCTAATACATCATAGTTACAAACCAGAACTATATTATACCATGTACTACATTCAAGTCAGGGCGCGTCGTCATATTACATCATAGTTACAAACCAGAACTATATTATACCATGTACTACATTCAAGTCAGGCCACGTCGCCAATTTACATCATAGTTAAGAACTAGAATTATATTATACCATTTACTACATTCAAGTCAGACCACGTCGTCATATTACATCATAGTTACAAACCAGAACTACATTGAAACATGTACTACATTCAAGCCAGGCCACATCGTCATATTACATCATAGTTACAAACCAAAACTATATTGAAACATGTACTACATTAAAATCAGGCCACGTCGTCACATTACATCATAGTTACAAACAGAACTATATTATACCATGTACTACATTCAAGTCAGGCCATGTCGTCATATTAAATCATAGTCAAAAACCAGATCTATATTATACCACGTACTACATTCAAGTCAGGCCATGTCGTCATATTAAATCATAGTCAAAAACCAGATCTATATTATACCATGTACTACATTCAAGTCAGGCCATGTCGTCATATTAAATCATAGTCAAACCAGAACTATATTGAAACATGTACTACATTCAAGTCAGGCCACATCGTCATATTACATCATAGTTACAAACACAACTATATTATACCACGTACTACATTCAAGTCAGACCAGATCGTCATATTACATCATAGTTACAAACCAGAACTATATTATACCTGTACTACATTCAAGTCAGGCCACGTCCTCATAATACATCATAGTTACAAACCAGAACTATATTATACCATGTACTACATTCAAGTCAGGCCACGTCCTCATAATACATCATAGTTACAAACCAGAACTATATTATACCATGTACTACATTCAAGTCAGGCCACGTCGCCAATTTACATCATATTTAAAAACCAGAACTATATTATACCATGTACTACATTCAAGTCAGGGCGCGTCGTCATATTACATCGTTAAGAGCTCTTAAAATAAAGTCTATTAAAAAAATCAAATAAATCGAAAGAATACTCACAATGCTGTCTAGTTCAGAGTTTTGGACATAATAACGTTTTTCTTGTTTGATCTGCAAATTAAAAATGTTAGACATGTACGATTAGGTAGAACTTTTTACATCTTGTATAGAATGGACTTTATCTACCAATGTGTGAAAAACAAGCCTTTTTAAACAACGAAATAGTTTCTAATAAATATGCGAAAGTAAAAAAGAAAAAAAAACAGTTCCTGTTAAACAACATTACAGTTTGTAACAATACAGAAACGAACACCGTGAAACAACAGTACAGTTTCTTCGATATCTGGTAGTGAATTAACGAACCCTGCCAAACAACACTTCGGTTTCAACTAATATCTGGAAGTGAATGTACGAACCCTGCCAAACAATACTGCAGTTTCAACAAATATCTGGAAGTGAATGTACGAACCCTGCCAAACAATACTGCAGTTTCAACCAATATCTGGAAGTGAATGAACGGACCCTGCTAAACAACACTACAAATTCTACCAATACCTGGAAGTGAATGAACGGACCCTGCCAAACAACACTACAGATACTACCAATATCTGGTAGTGAATGAACGGACCCTGTCAAACAACACTTCAGTTTCAACCAATATCTGGAAGTGAATGAACGGACCATGTTAAACAACACTACATATTCTACTAATCCCTGGAAGTGAATGAACGAACCCTGCCAAACAACACTGAAGATTCTACAAATATCTGGAAGTGAATGAACGTACCCTCCTAAACAACACTGCAGTTTCAACCAATATCTGGTAGTGAATGAACGGACCCTGCCAAACAACACTACAGATTCTACCAATATCTGGTAGTGAATGAACGGACCCTGCCAAACAACACTTCAGTTTCAACCAATATCTGGAAGTGAATGAATGAACCATGTTAAAGAACACTACGGATTCTACCAATACCTGGAAGTGAATGAACGAACCATGTTAAACAACACTACAGATTCTACCAATACCTGGAAGTGAATGAACGAACCCTTGCAATGAAAGGTTTTGGTAATCCAAGTTCAACCCAGACTGACAGACACGTGTTTTCCCGTTTTTCACAAATTATATTATTGTAAGATAAGATTGGTTTCCAGTGTTTGAATTAAAATAAACATCATGGTACAGGAAACATAAGTCCGTGCATTTTTAACACGAGATACAACACTTCCATCTCAACTTTAACAGCCAGCTAACATTCGCTAGAGAAACTCGGATTGAAAGACTAACTTACTAGTCGTTGGTTAGAAATAACCACAGAGATACCACTAGTGAAATAGCATAACAATTAACAGGTTGGACACAGAATAGAGAAAACTAACCAAATATTACTAGTAGCTTTGAACGTGTCATAATGTTATACGTAAAGAACACAAACTACATTTGACCTTACCTGTTTGGTGAAGACTTCAACATCGTCGTTGAAAGATACCGAAGAGTAGATTTCACCGCCGACGACACCTGGTTCACGCGGCGTGGTCGTCGCCAGTTCGCACTTCTCGAAAATCAAGGCCAACAGCGGAAACAAAGGATGCCTGAAACCAGAGGAAAAGAATTTCGATTATACACAATTAACACAGCAGATAACCCAGGCTTAGGAAAGCATCTTTTCATCATAACCCCTACACTGTTGTTCAACTTTTTCATCATAACCCTCTTCATTGTTTTACAATGACATGCAAGTCCCGCAAGAATCGGCTGCGATGTAACACAACATTTAATCAACAAGCATCAGGTTAGCGGAGAGCAGGACAACCGGCCGATATGGTTAGGCATAACGCCGATAACGAGCGACTGTGCATGAATTTCACTTGATATCAGTAGTGATCGACTATAATAAATAAAGCCAGTGTTTGGATACAGTCTGTTCAGGACTTGTCTTGATATCAGTAGTGATCGACTATAATAAATAAAGCCACTGTGTTTGGATACAGTCTGTTTGGGACTTGTCTTGATATCAGTAGTGATCGACTATAATAAATAAAGCCACTGTGTTTGGATACAGTCTGTTCAGGACTTGTCTTGATATCAGTAGTGATCTACTATAGTAAATAAAGCCACTGTGTTTGGATATAGTTTTATGTCTCAGAGGTGATCCACAATATCACTGATCCAGAGTAATGCTTAAACACTTATAATACTTAACCGTTTTCCTGAACTGACCCAGTGTAATACTTAACCGATTCAGTGAAATCAACCGGTATAACACATATCTTGCTCTCAGTACGTATTGACATCAATATTGTTTTGGTACACTACTGATTTTGTTCACTGTAGCGATTGTGGGTACAACTTGAAAAAAAAAAAGGAAAATACTACGGTTGTTTCTCAATTTTAGATGAAACATTAAATAGGGTTATGTATATTGTACACTTGACACTTAGGTACAGCGGTAATTTAAAACTGACCGTATATTCTCAAAGTTTTAATAAATAAAGAGGAAACAGGACGTTAAACTCACTATTTCAATGTGTGTAAACTCAGTGAAACGTCGTGTTATTCTGGTGTAGCCATCACATCCAAGGTTAAGTCGTTCTCCCAGATTGGTCTAAACTTAACTTATTAAATTTACTTGAAATACTACTTACACGTAAACCTGTGTAATTATCCTACTGAGAAGGCTATTTACTTATATCCCTGTGTAATCGTCCTACCAAGTGGACTACTTACTTATATCCCTGTGTAACCATCCTACTGAGAAGACTACTTACTTATATCCCTGTGTAACCCTCCTACTGAGAAGGCTATTTACTTATATCCTTGTGTAACCATCCTACTGAGAAGGCTATTTACTTATATCCTTGTGTAACCATCCTACTGAGAAGGCTATTTACTTATATCCCT